AACATACCAGAGGCCACACAATCGTGGACTTTATATCTTCAATCAAACTTATGTTTGCTATAGCATTCAACGATATTACTTTTTTCTTTATTGAGTTGGCTTTCGAGGCCGGATATATGAGATGTGTTTACCCTATTTCATGTAAAGTGAAGAAGAAATGGTAGTTGACAAACTGCTCAATAAAGAAAAAGGTAATGTCGTCGATTTCTTTAGCAAATATCAATTTGCCTCATCGACATTTCCAACACAGAATAGGATATGGATATTGCCTGAAATTCCCTGAAATCCACATCTACTATTACACCCAAGGGCACTCATTGCAATATGGCTTAGTGGTTACCGTGTCATGGTTCGACTTTCACTGTGGCCATTGACAAGATCTAGGCGAGGTCAAAACTGCAATCCACTTCAGCCTGGATGAGAAGACTTTTTGGGAAATCAAGGCTATGTGAAATGCAATGGAAACGTCAACTCTACACATATCATTGTGGGGAAAATCAACTACCAGTCCTTCATCACCGATTTACTGGCAGTCCCAGAAACCTACTCAATAATAGATTTCATTAGTCTTGATATTTTTGGTACGGCCTGAGTTGGCTCAAAGTTGCAGCCTAGTTTTGGGAGGAACAGATTTGTGGGATAAAAGGCATTCGCTATTCGTCTTCAATGAAGCATTCATCCCGACCTCGCAATCTGTCGAGGGCAGAGGAAGGCCTTTGGTACCACTTCGAGGGCCAACTATTTGAGGCATCGCACATTCCATTTTTGCGAGAATGACCAAAGTGAGCCAGACCTCAGAGCCGACCTCTTCCGGAGGCTTCTTCATCCGCCTGACATTAACGTCTATGTCCCGGCTCCATTTTGGAAGGGAAACGCCATGGCAACATTTTATGAGCTGACCTGTCTGCTGGCCAATAGAAGATGATTCAGCGGGATAAAATTGCAACATCTGTTGGCAAACTTCTCTTTCGTCTACTCCATTGAAAACTAGGCACATTGACTGCCGTTTTATGCGCTTCCACTCTAACTAAAGTGGCCAAATGTGTTTAGTCCCGGTTTTTCCGGTCGGCCATGGCGGACGAGGGTATGCGAAAACTGTATTTGGCGCATTCCTTCTAACGGGGAGGAGGAAGC